TAATACATTTCATTAAAAATATAATAATAAATAATGAGTTGTGCAAGTGCAAGACATAACCAAAATCTGTAACAGATGAGTTCTGAAACTAGTTAAAAAAATGTTGAAATTAAATCATGTTTGGATTTAATTCAATTTAAATCACTTTTTGAAATATAAAACGGGAAAACGTTCTTAATGAACAACGCTTGAAAAACCCGGAATGCGACAGGTCATGGGTTTGAGTCCCATTTCAGAGTGCTAGGCACAAAGCTGATTTTTTTAAGCGTTTTTCATTGAGAATATTTTCCAGAATAGCATTGTGAATGGAAAATTGTTCAAACAATAAACATAAACGCTGTGATATTTGATGTTTTATTATTTTATCATAGAAAACAATATATTACCAATGCTAACAGTAGGTCGAGCGGGGCTTGCTTTAAGAGATGGAGGGCCGGCTGTCAAGGGAATCCGTCCGTTAGTCCTTTATGCTGGTGAGTAATGGCGACAACCCTAAAACCCTACGATGTATCCTCACCTTAGGGATGGGCTCTTGTGCTAACCTTAATTCATCCAAGACTCTATAACTTACTTTTTTTCTTAAAGAAGTTATGTTTTGAGTTTACTTTTTACTCTTCCGTAGCGGGACGCGCCTCGTAGATTGTAAAGACTTCTGAATGAAATGACAAGTATACTGCTGAGATGTGCTCTTTACGTGTGTATCTGTCCTAATGTGCTCTAAAATTGGCCACGTGAATCCGTCCAGTAATTACGAGTACAATGGCGCATTGTCTGGGCGACACTTCCTGCGCATCCGATACTCACCTCTGATCTTATCTCCTGGTTATGGGTTATGAAATGTTTATTTGCTGGAATATAGTATTTCCGTTAAAAATATATAAATAAATATTGTAGAATTACACTATGCTAATAATGAACAAATTACTAAAATGTCTCATGTAAAATGTATCATAGTGGATAAGCCACAGTCCGCGATCGTTATTGTTAAGTAACTTTCGCAAGGTCGGTCACAGGATGGGTGACCAAAAAATTATTATCTTGAGTTACTCCGTGCTTTGGAAGGCACGTTAAGCAATTGGTCCCGGCTGCATTCGTAGACATTAATAACCTCCACCAGCATGAAGGGTCACCATGACCCATTCTCCTTAACCACCAGCAGTGAGGAAGTAAAGTGATGAGATAGATGATTATAAGTGGCACAACCTTATTTTCCGAGTCGATAAATCTTTGATTTTTTTTAGTTATAATAGCGATAATCCTAGGTATTCTAAAACCAAACTTTTTCTATAGTATATTAACGATATATGTGTGGCATTGTTTAGTGACGCGGTAGCTCATTAGTGGGTGATGGTATATCAATCAGTTAATCCTTATTAATCCTCTTATACGATAACTAGCTTCGATAGAATCACTTAACATACTTAACATCGTTTAAGTATGTTACTTTATTCCAAATAAAATTATATTGGGATAGTAGTTTCCATGACAATTATACACACAGACAGCAATAAGTTAATTGATGAATACCGCACAAAGAATATTTAAGCAGTGCATTTCTAGGAGGCACAAGCGAAGCAGTCCGGTTTTCCATATGCAATAAATATTATACAAGATATTTCCTATACACCAGTGAAATCATCAAAATCTATTGTGTGGTTTGAGAGAAATTGAAAGACTACACAGAAAATAATGGACTTAGACAGACTTTATACCGAAAACAAAAAATGTACTTAACTGATTCGTCAGTATATCTTAGAAATAAAATTATAAAGGCATTTATTCTTATACTATAACCATTACGGATACGGAGATCAAGTGAAAATTAAGATTTTGACCATTAACTTAATAATAAAGTTGAAAAGTGAGTCTGAAGAGTAACCGCTTCGAGAAACCATATCGAACAAAAAAAGAATCATCAGAATCAGGACAGTTCACGATATATTTAAAGAGCACAGAGTTTATAGGTTTGTCTTTTGTTTTAAAATATTTAGTTGAAAATAGCGGAAATTTTAATAAAATTAAGTTATACTACTGACTCATGAAACTTATATCCAAAAAAATATTCGTTCCAATTGAGGTTCTTTCTCTTTTTTTGCAATAAACTAAAAAAAGCTCAGATTTGTTTCCAAATTTGATATACATTGAGCTTTTCAATAATTAATTAAATCCTGAAATAATTTATTAATCTCAATTTAAAGCGACCCTGATAACATTATTCACAATCTGACGCTAGGTCTAGGTCCCCATCTTTCGGTTCCCGTTATTGACTGACCCACAAACTCATTCTCCTTTTTACCAGTGCCCAGTGGATCTTCGAAAAACAGCTTTCATGACAAACGTACCTTTGGGCTGACATCCAGTCCGTGAAATGATGTTCGGAGTGCAAACGAGTTGGGAGCGGCGAGCGTTCATATAACCTGTATGAGAACTAAATCAACGCTTCATAATAATTTTTGAGTAACTTGAAAATACACGATAAATTATAAATTGAAGTAACTTTTTTCAGATAAATTAAATAAAAAAAAATAAAGACTTTGATTTATTGTCTTTTACTTCTAGTACGATCTTCTCTGTAATCATCGAATAAAAACTTTTTCGTTTACGGTTCTTCTTTGCTTTAATATCCATAAAGATATATCCGCAACATACATCACTAAACGCATAATTGGTACCTATATAGCTGACCTATATTTTCTTGACATTTTAAACGATGACCTGTCCATGTCGCGGCTTCGGACTTCGCGAAATAATACATCAATGGAGAATCTGTTTTAACTTGGCATTAAAATGTCCTCAAAACGCACTCCCAACTGATTTAATTTTTTGAGTATCATTAAAACTGTACCGATCCGAAGATTATATCTGAATCATATAATTAAGATTAAGATCATTTATGATTATTTCAGGTCTTCTTTTTAGGCGCACCCAAAGGGTAAAACGGTGACCCTATTAGTAAAACTCCGTTGTCTGTCTGTCCGTCTGTAACCAGGCTGTTAACCGTGAAAGTTAGATAGATGAAACTTTCACAGATGATATATTTCTGTTGCCGCTTCAGCAATAAATACTAAAAAATATAATCAAATAAATGTTTAAGGGGATCACATACAAAAAAACGTTTTTTTTATTTCATTTTCAATTATGTGCTATTTAAAATAAAATTTATAAGTATTATGACTAGAGATCTTACTATATTAAAGTAGATTTGACAATATCTATCAGAAAAGGCAAAATACAGTAAAGTACTTTACTCGTCTTAGTTTATAGTTTTAAGTAGGAGAAAATTCCTTTCAAGACGGGTGTATTTTTTTTTTAGTTTAAACTAAAAAGGTTTGGGTGCAGTCGTAATCAGTTTTAGAGAAGTACCTATGCATAGTGGAAGCCGGTCTCTGCGCGTGTGGTCTTTTAAAACGGGGTCTTAGTAGAAGTTTATGTTACTTAAAGTATAATACGTTTACTATTTGTTAACCCTAGAAGCCTAATCTATCTGAGAATTACCTAATCATACGTTACAGAAGCGTTGGAAATTACAACTCGTAGAGAAAAGTATACACAATTTTTTTTTTTTAATAATAAGACGCGGTTTTATACTGAAAATTACAATAAAATAACAACTTGTATTTTTAAATTAAAAATCATCTTTATAATTTAAAAATAGAACGTTTCGTAGGCTCAATAAGTCAAAAATGGCTGCTGGACTTATTCTAGTGATACAAGGCAAGCTCTCGTAAAGCTTTGAGTTGGTTAAATGGCACAATACGCTATTTCCACCCGTTACAAAAATAGAGCGGATAATCGATTTCGTGTACACCACGTAGATGTAGATTAAGCTTCTGGGGTTTAAAAAATTATATAATATACTTTTAAATTGTGATATCTCACATTCTGACTTGGAAGCAAAAGAAGAATCCTCATGTAAGCCAATGTCTACAGTCACGTGGTTCGCATGCCGCGCTGGTTAGAAGCTGTTACCGTCAATCAGGCCCCGGGTTCGATTTCAGATGGATCAATTTTGGAAATGAACTTTTATATACTGTCTCTGTTTTAGTTATTTTAAATATCTGGATATTTAAATAGCTAAAACAAAATATATTCATACCTGTAGCTATTCTTTAGCTACTTAATTTGAAATCTGAGTAATGTATGTGATGTTGTTTAATATTTATTAATATATATATATATATATATATATATATATATATATATATATATATAAAAGAACTCGATAACGGCTGGGCTGATTTTACTGATTTTCATTTTAAAATGTGTGTCTCAGTCCAAAAAAGTTTACATAATGAGATATAAAATTATAGGCAATAAGAACTACACCGGGTTATCTAGTTGTAAATGAATAAAATTATTTACATTTATATAAAGTAAAAAAAGTGTAAGTAATCTTAGATCTAGCGAGTTAATTCTAGCTTCCCACAACCCATTTAATAAACACAGTTCAGTTTAAAGCTTCCGATAAAATCGACAACATTACCTACTTCACCAACTGTCTCGAACAGTAATCTGACACTTATGTTCACTTACAAAAGGTATGATAACTAACATTTTAGCTTTGCCCACAAATGCCACATGATTTATTATTAGTACTACATTAGTTAAGGTTGAAAGTCGAGTGAGAATTATACGGACGTCAACATTAAACGCCTTCGTATATCAGATGTACTTTAAGCCGAAATTGATGACGGCTATTATTTTTAATTACCCGAAATAATATATTTAAGCTACCGTATGATTTGTGAAAATGCTTATTAGGATTTTATTATTACACTAGTTTTCCGCCAGCGGCTTTACGGCGGTTACTAGGGAACCGTTTAGTTGGATATCGATTACAATGACAAATTGAATGGTAAACGGTAGTTGCCATGGTTACCATTGTTTACTATACCCCGCGGCTGCGGGGAAGGGACGGCGGGCGGCGCGGTCCCTCGAGACGCAGCGTGCACGGCAGCGGGCAGGAGGGCGGAGTGGAGCGACGCGCGCAACAATCGACGCGGCGGCATCGGCGGGCTGCGACGTGTTTTTACGCCATGCCCTTATCAAACCTAGATTTAATAGCGCGAGTCAAAGACAATCCATCGATATGGATGTCTACGCACTCTCTACATAAGAACCGAGTCGTCCTGAACAGGTTTTGGCAAGGTCTAGCAGAGGAATTCGAGGAAAATGGTACGTATTCATTTAATTTATAACATAGCTATAGAGTACCCACGCGAACGGTCACGCTCGCCGAGCCAGCGGGGAGGGCGACCTCCTGAACCAGTTTATTTAATTTGTATAATACATGCGGTAAACGTTCCCATCCTTTTTTTCATAAGTGCTCGTGTGACAAAGGTAATTTGAGACTGATATGCATTCTTAGGACATCTTACTCACGTATATACAATGACAATTGTCGGTACAGGTATCCAAACGTATGGCTAGTAGATTCTTTAAAGGACTTTAGTTCTTTTATTCCCTAAAATTATGTAAATCATTATGAATGTAGTTATTCATCATAAATTTAAAAAGGTATATATTATTTTTATTTCAGAAACTAAACTAAGAAAGCGTTGGAAACATTACAAAGATCAATTCAGAAAGGAGTTCAAGAAAGCTCAGAAGAATTCATTATCAGATTCAAACGTCCCTTGGATGTATTACAAGCCGTTGTGTTTCTTAAAAGAGGATTTAGTACGCAAAGAAGTAAAGAACGTGGCCCGGCCAGGTCGAGGTATTAAGAAACTAGTGAGTAATCAATTAAGTATCATATTGAAGAGGGTAGCAGAGACAAAATGCTTGGTTGAAGAGAGATTGACAGATCTTTATGCGCAAAATAAGAATGACCCCGACTTTCTGTTCCTAATGAGCCTGATGCCTTCTATAAAACAGCTAACGGACATACAGAAGCTGAATTTCAAAGTCAAAATTAACGATTGGCTGCTGCAAGAGATCACTCTTAATACTTACGGGGAAAACTCAGATGAATACATCGTTAATGGTATAAAACAGGAACATTGAAAACAGTGATTATTGCAATTAATAATTATTAATATCATATAATATGAGATTTATTATTAACGTAATGCTGTTTCATTATAAAGCGTAATGTAATGATTCTCTTGGAAAAATGTTTATTAATGTATACCTGACTATTCTTAGTTCTGTTTAGGATTGACGAAAATATTAGCTTAAGGTTAATGTTAATATTGCTTATATTAAAATATTTAAAAATATAATTTCAGTATTTCTCTGTGTTGCATCTAATAGCATACCGTTATGCCGTAAGCATCCCTATGTTATTAAAATCTTCATTACCGAGCTCTAAACGCCGGTTTTAAGACATTGCCATCTCAGAGATCCCGGGTTCGATTAATGATTTTCTGTATTTTTTGTTGTTCGGTATAAAATATTCTTTTTTTCGTTTAAGCGAAGTCTAAAATATTTTTATTAATTAAAACTGTATCACGTTGAGACAGTTTTACTATCCTTTTACTAAATTTGCTTTTAATTATTAGATTCTTTATTGTTATGGTGAATTACTTCCACGTTTAATCTCAGGCTAGGAACGACCGGTGGTTTTGTCCAGAATCATGTAATGAGCTTATTCTAGTTCAGGACTTCCCAATCTATTTTGTGCTCGGAAACCTAATAGACGACATTTTTTTAGACGGCACCCTTTATTGATAATTAAAGAAATTATCTTGTAGATTGAATATTTTTCAAACGAGATTGAAAAGTAATAACAAATTACCTTTTACGGATCCCTTAGGTTCCGTGGACCACCTTTCGGGAATCGCTGTCCTAGTTTGTCTAAATAATAATCCACCACTGGCCTTTTTATCACTTCGGTAGGCGATTGAGCTTCGGACTTCAGAGATGACAACATTAAAATCGCAAATTGTAACCATTTGACTACGGAGGCAGTCGAAATCGATCAAAATAACAAACAAAAAGATTTCCCTTACCCATTGTGTTGTTACCATTGATTGATCAACTCGTTTATTAAATGTATCTCTATTGGAATAAACATAATGTTGTTTTGAACGCGTGTGTATGCGCAGTGCATTAGAAAGCCATCTCACGGGTTTCTGGTTGCAAGTGGGTGCCTATCGGGGCGTGACCAGAGAGCAAAATTTACATCGTGATTTATTTATGCCGATTGTCGTCTATGGTCGCGTTCGATTTTTAAAATGTAACGATGTTCTCTTCTGTTATTACTTATTAAAATATAATAGGCGGTATAAAGTTATGAGTAACCGTTGCGACTTTCGAGTTCACTCTGCACTGTATACGGTAAGTAACTTTCGCAGAAGCTTGTCATCGGGCGGGTGACCAAAGCTCTTGAGGCGTGCCCGCTGCGCGATTCTTTGAACAAACATTGTCCTTGAACACTGTTTGTTAAAATACCGTCCGCTACGTGTTAAGCATTGTTCATTGCGGAATAATATGTGCATATTTTCAATTTCTTAATTTTTTTGTTATTAGTAATACAACATATTTGGATTTACTAATGCGAGGCCCTTTGCTCTGTTTCTGCGTCAAAATTAAACATAAAATAGGGTTAACGGCTGGGTAAAAAAATCTATTTAGTCCATTGGTCAGATAATAGAAAAATATAAGACGCGTATTTTTTAATTTAAACAAGAAATGGCTTAGATAATAGGCAATAAGTTGAGGAGTACCCCCAGGTATGCTACGTCACAGATTTGTAGAAAACATACAAAAGCGTGACGTAATGCGACATTTTAACTCAATGTATCGCCATAATTTATTGATTACGCAAAAAATAAAAGTATTTAATATTTTTCTTTAATCCACCTAATAAAAATTTGTCGTCATCCCTTGCAACGTTCCCCCTCCCGCAGATGATATACACATATAGATTTTGACAGTAAAACAAACGTCATAATAAATAATATTCAAAATATACACCATATTTTGAATATTATTAATAGTAAAATATGGTGTATGTAGATATATACAAACATAACCTTTACTATTTTTTTTTATTTTAGGGTTTTCTTGCTGCTCTTATTACTACTTTGATTTAGGCATTTTGTCTTTACCTATATTTACTTTTACCCGAGGCTTCCTACATAGCCTGCTAAGTACTATATAGTACTCAATACTTTTTGAGCGGCTAACTACTCGTTAAATAAGCTTTAGGACGGAGCGGTTTACGTATCAAGGCAAACCCAAAAAGATGTATGTATTTGTTCTATTTGGATGATATTTCAAGGTATAATTTTATTTTAAAATATATATATATAATTTCTATTTGAATAATAATATCTTCATATAATATTTTATATTTAAATTTATACGATTTACAACAACATGTTCACAACAGAAGATTTTTTTACGAACTGACATTCATTAAGAGCATATTTGATTAGTTAAAAATTAATTTTAAAATTAAAATTAAAAGAAATGATGTTGAGAATTAAAGCCAAAAAATTTGCATGCGGATACCTAGGAAAAATTAACGGTGGTTATAGCACACCGTTACAAATAATAATAGTGTACTAAAGTGTTAGAATAAAATGTAACTCAAAGTGCTATAAAATTTTGTAAGACCAAAAATATTTATAGATACCAAATAAGTTAACCTACATAGAAGTAAATTTCATTCGAATTAACTGTAAAATAAAAACAGTTCGACTCCATCACCTGGCCTCTATTACATAACGTTACGTTATATTATAGCTTATAACACGTAACGCAATAAATTAAACGTTAAAAACGAATTGGGTTTACAACCGTGTAAAATGTCATACAGCAAAAATGGCGGGAATATTTTTTCGACGAAATTATAACTATTACGTCATTCTATTGAACTAGAGTGCCTTTTGGGTAACACATTTTATTGAAAGTTAAAATCTTTTCATAACTCAAGCATAATTAAAGCAATATACATAATATTTTTGTTGTGTGTTAATGAGTAACTGAAGATTTGAATTGTTTAGGGCTGAGCGTCGAAACAAGACTGTACCTATGGATAGATACAATCAGTCGCACAAACGTCCGTCAAAATTGTCGTTAGTTTAAAGTCACATTACCCATACTATTTTTTTAAATTCAGAACATTCATTAGATGGAATGGTTTGTGCAAACGCGTGTTAGTTATATGGACAGAAGAAAAAAACAAAAAAACAGTTCATATACTAAACATAATAGTTGTCTTCTTCTTAAAAACTATTTTATTTTATTTTTATCGAGACATTTATCACGATTTGTACTTATTTATTTTCTGATAAAAATGTTTTTAGGACTGGCTACAATGCAAGTTTAATAAAAGCTCACCGTATATAATTTAAACGCTATAAAGGCGGCCCTCGACATATAAACTCGATTAGGGTAATTGAACCTATAACGTACTCCAAATCTATTTCCATGGGATCAAAATAGGGTTCCACAATAATTCGTTATTATTATGAAATAAAATAACATACGATAATTGTGCGATCTAACATCAATCATACAATGTTTATCAGTGAGTTATGATGAGATCACATGAGATAAAAATGTTACTCCATTATTACATGTGGACGAGTCGACAATGGCCAACCGATGTTTCGTGGATGGTTCGGATTCAATAGATAATTTAAAACAAAGCCTTCTTTTCCCTTTCATTATTACGTACTCGTTATAACTCACGACTATTGAAATATGATTCCAAACATCCATGATGGCGGTCGCATAGTTTGAGATGCCACAAATTTATTGATATTGAGAATGTGATTTTTCTCTTGCGTTTTAAAGGTTGAAAGAATATTCAGGTGATGCATCGAAACACCGAGAGAAGATTTAAGTTTCATGTCAGAAATGTCAAACAGACAGATTGCCGATTATAACCAACTGTTTTTAATTCGTTACTCAGTGTCCTGGTACGACACACTGATGAAACTACGAAATTGCTTCAAATAAATAGAGCATATCCCTATAGCTTACAGCTTCGCAATAATTTATCAATAAGAGATATTTATATAAAATGCTCGTTTAGGGTGAATGTTAAGGTAACAATATAATTTTTTCATTTTCTGATAAGTGACCACGTACGTCAATTCCTGAAGAGTATTACCATTATATAAAAGGTTTACTACATTCGCGTATGGTTCAGGTAGTGCTTTATGCAGACTTTTGCAGATCACCTAATTGTAAGTCAAAATAAAAAAATTTTATCTGAGGGTCACTCTGATTGCATTTCTGCCGATTGTGCTCGTTGGAAGTGCGCAGGTGAATCGCCGTGGGTGCGGCATGCGCATGCGCATCGCTTGCACAACCCACGGCCGGCCGCATTCCGTCGGCGGTCGCGGGTGCGGGTGCACGCGCCGTAACTCTTTAAAATTACGTGAAGAAACCTATTTTCAACATCAAAATTCATTATGTTACGTGCACATAAATTATTTCCTTCATTTATATTTGAATGTATTGCTAACTAGTTAAAATTGATATTTGTGCTCGAAATAAAAAAGAGACAAATACTGAAACTATCGATACTCCTCAAAAAAGGAAGTTATCACGAAATTTTTTATCCGTTCAACAAAGAAAAGACAGTTCAAAAAAACTTCGTCTAAAAAGTCAATGCTAACTTTAATTCGCATACCTGGAATGATAAAACAATAAATGAAAAAAAACCACAAACATTAATTACTCAACAATTATAAGTATAATAAATTATTGCAAAGATACTATCATAGCATAACATCTACCTACACAATGCGAGCAGATTATAAACTAGTTCGATAATTACCGACAATAATTCCTTGAGACAAGTCCGTTCCAATATCCCCTTGGGCACGGATTAGGGTAAAGCACACAGTAATTGGCACATGCCGAACATTGGAACAAAGCTTTGTAACAATTAGACACTGTCACCGTAGGCTGTTCTTTATTCAGAATTAAACAGCAATTTATTTTTCTATTGACTTTTAAGGACGCAACTTTCTGGCTAGTCTGTTAGAGCAAATTACTGCAACGAATATAGCTTACAGCGATGGTCAAAAATACTGGTATGTTTCGAAAATTGCAAAGCAATGATGAATTGCTGTAATTTAAAGGGACATTTGCGCTTGTTTGACGCTCGGAGCGGTTATTTGGAATCGAACACAACAAAATTTACTCAACGTAAGTACCATTTAGAGATGTTTTAATACGAAAAATCTATGCAAAAGATGTTTGACGTAATCATTCTTACATCACCACGTTATTCGCAAGTAATTCGGGTCACTTGGTATTACTAGTGAACTTGTAAGGTTTTAATCCAATAGAAAACTATGGCTTCATTCTCACCGACGCATGCAACGATAGACAAGCGAAGCATTTGCGAAATAAAGCATTTAACATAATACTCGTAAAATAAATCGTGAGCCGTTTGCAATATTTTTAAAACTTTAAAAAAGTCTCACTCACGGCGTCCTAAATATATTACATGCGATAGGTTTTATTGTTGATTGCATGCCTATAGATAGCTGAGCAATTAACTATTTTATTCAAATAGCTTTGGTATTAAAATGTCATGAATACACTGTAACACAATCAAACGACGTTATAATAATTTAAATCTACGCAATCGACTTTAAAGAAAGCGATGATAAAACACAAAAAAATAGAAACCGTTGCGTGTGTCCATAACTATAACGGAACGAATTAGTCTTGTTGATGTCATAAAGTAATAACTTGATGCAATTGAAGGTTGAAATAACTGGCACCCACACTAGGACCGACTAGTACCACTTTACATACGGTTCCGCGTTTCTCATTAGCTCTCTCACATTAATTTATAACTCGGTTCTACATATGCAAACAGTCTATGACGTTACTTTACGGAAGACAGTTCAGCGTACGCACGTAGGTGGTGCTTTTTGCATCTTTATAGTATAGAAGATGAATATGTACTGCATCTGGTTTCCTCACTTTAACTTAAGCACCGGCTTAAATAGAACTCTCTAGTTAAGGAAGCCTTTCCTTTACAACTTTGTCTTCAAATTATACGTCTCTGAAACTCCTGTCGATCAAACGAGATATTTCCTATAATCAGCTGCGTCTTGTTGCATTATGCTCAGAACTAATGACATTGGTAAGTCTTACATATAATGATATATTTCAGTAACACTTATTACCAATTAATACATCTTTTTGAGATTTTCCTGCACTTTACTAATCACGGTTAATAAGTATATTATATTAAGTTAAACATTCACGGACAACAGTATAATTAACCTTGGAGATTTAATAACGGAGTTTATTATGAATACAAAATAAACGCCAATTTAGTGCTGCACTTAACTAAAAATTTACGATTATGATCTGATATATTTCATTGTTTAAACATGACAGAGAGGCAACTATTTTATAAGGTGGATAAATCTTTGAACGTAATTAATTCTACAACTTTCCCTTCAGAAAGACACGCTGCCTTTACGACTTCCAGACTATATTTTGGAGACAACGTTGTGTTGGGAATCTGCAGATCTAATACCATGATAACGAGGTGCAAATGCTTGGAAATTTAATGAATCGGTCTTGATGTGTACCCTGCTCGTAGGCAGACCCTATATTTATGCAAAAATTACTCTTAATGTGTAATGTTCTGTAAGAACATTCACAAAACAAAAATATGATTTATTCCAATAAATTAAAAAAAGCACTATCATTAGCTATCATCTTCATACAGGTCGTCTTTTATCTGTAAAGAAGGACGGGATCAAGTAAAGTAACCAAAAAGCACAAATAGAGCTATATACTCGTAAGAGGTACCCACTGAAATAACCAAATATTTTTGCTGACTACAATAAACACTATGTGTCATATTGATTAGTTAACTGATGGTATAGATTTACGAAATTCATGAATGCTCGCAAGTAGCATAAATATGATAAAGTATTAGATATTTATTAATTTGATTTGTCAAAAATATTACGCGCCAGTTGCACAAACGCTCATTAATATTGTCAATAGTTTTAAGTGTTCAAATTTAGAACATTAATTGGAATTTATAGTTGTCGTTAAACCTTAATGGACGATAGGGCAACTGGTCATAAGTATTAGTAACAATATAGCAGCAGCTAATAACATGTGAGAACTTATTTGAGTTTGCGAAGAAAGTTATCCGAAATCAATGTCGCCAGCTTTCTACCAACACCAGGATTCATACACACGTTATGAAAAAAAAAAAGATCCGTTCGAAATTGTCGAGTAGCCAATAATTATGAATATTTATGAGTCCCGAGGAAAACGTGGACGATATGATACTGATAGGCGATGAAATCGAGTCTTATTTCTGTTCTGTGGAGTCTTACGGTAACCAGTTCGGTTGCAGTCTGGCCACTTATAGTATTGGTGATGTTTGTTTTTATAAGTAAGAGGGACTAGAGTTGCAGACGTGACTACAATACGATTACTCGCAGGTGGTTTTGTAATATTGCTTCTCTGTACCAAGTTATATATTATTCGAATAATTTCTCAAGTTGTTGTGTTCTTTTTTTCTCGGCTCTATTAAGCGGCCGAAAAAAACTGGTGATCTATCGACATAATATTATTATGGTATGCTTTCAATATAACATTATTACAAGCACTATTGAATTTGTTCGGCAGTGGTAGTAACACATATCTCCATTAGCTGAGCTGTCTCACAAATACAGTCAACAACAATTTAGGATACACAAAACTTAAGTCAATTTGAAAGCTTAAAATCTTGATGAATAGGTTTAACATCGATTGAAAAAATCCTTATATTATAGTAAGCTAATGTGCTGTCAACTGTACCTTAATTAGATAATCTCCTAATTTAATTAACAAAGGAGTTGCATGGTGAAGAATTGCAGGATTATCTACATGATATGACTGAATACATCCCACGTGAAGACACAGAGAATTACTTTTAACTAAACGACGAAAACGATTAAAAACAATTTCAGAATCCACAGTCAATTAACCCACTCCGGTTAATAGTCGCTATGTTGTTTGGTCGTAATAGTTCGCTCATGGAATAGCAGTCATCTCATGTCGTGTACCACGTTTTATTTACGACAGTAAATAGAAACTTATAGTTTTTTAAACTTACGTGCTCGTCCAGGGAGTACGTGAGTTCTCCATCGTCGTAAAGGACGAACCATCTCCGCTGCCATCTCTGCAACAAACAAATATTTTTTTAGAACAGGCATTAATTTCTCACAGGTTTTAGCAACTTTTACACTATGTAACATTTGTATCGTTATTCCTGAAAGATCTATTCGATTCAATGCTCTTTTTCAATATTGTCGATAAAGCAAAAGTCAACCAACAAATATCGATAAGATTGAAAAAGGAGTATTTAAACGACAGGTTGGCATCTTATAACACTATTGATCTATTCATGTAACTAGTAACTAATGATTTTTTTGCTCAGTTTCAATTAACATACTCGTAAAATATAAAATAATATAGATAGATATGCTAATAAACAGATGTATAGCCATAGACAACTCGAAGTTCACATATTGGCTCAAGAAAATTTCTTTATGAAGAATGGGTAATGCAACAAATAATCTCCCATTATATAAACATACAATTTAGTACAGATCAAATTACAACAACTGCAATACCAACGTTTCTTAGAATATTGCGTCTAATTATTACTAATGGCCACGTACCATTTGCTGTGCTCGATTACCATGCTGTGACCCGTAATTAATTAGTTGAGAATGTCATTACGCATTCTACTGCAACAATAGATACTGGGAACGGTCTACAAACACCAAGAATTGTCTCTGCTTTTTCCGAAACGCAATTGCCTATAATAATGCAAGCTAATTTCTCAGTTTCCATTAATTCACCACTTAGGATTATGAATCTTTGGAATTCTCCTGTGACTCTAAAACAAATGACTTGTAATAATGGGTTTATAGAGACACGTATGAAGTTTATTATATATTAAACACTGGTTTCTGCAAATGCAACCCATTCACTTTATGTTAATTCGACACCGTGTAGACGACATAAGCTTTATGCACTCAGTAATGTCATATCAGGAGGAGAATATTAAATAAATCCGTATAATAGTTTCGATTTCAATCTAAATTGCATGCATAACACTTCTAATTGCTGACTAAATTTACTGATGCCGAATTATTGATACTGCAAATGTGAATTGAACAGAACGAGATGGCTATCGATTGTGGTACTAGTTCGTGGGCACCTACTCCGCAATTAATGCTAGCACAATTAACCTATTAGGCTAAGCAGATAATGTAAATCGAACACGCCGATAGCTGCGAATGCTGTGCCAAGAACAGCTAAGTGATCAGCAAACACCGAATGCAGCGACGACACGATTATGTTGTACCATTGTTTTGTGCAAGAGGCGACCTTGCGCCGACTTGTATACTCAAATTGGTTTTCAAATTGTCTGTCAAACATTTCAGTATAGCCTATGGCCAAACGAAGATTGCAAAAGCAGATTATAATAACTCCGAATGAATTCCATTACTTAATGATTATGTATTAGAAATTGATTTTTTTTATTGCAGCTTATACTTTTACTTGTATGGGAGCACGTGGGGGTTAGCGAATGGAATTTAAAAACAGAGTAACAAAATGAAAAATCTGGAGAAACAAATATTATCTTGTTTATTTGACATTCTAAACCGTTAAATGTCACGCTGTATCGAAGTGGAATCGACATAATTAACGTTTCGTTTTGGCTTGGCACTCCTGGTTAGATACCGAGATATAAGCTCGGCGCATGCCACCTCATACGTGACAACTAGAAGATTAAGTGGTGCCGTCAATCTGTTATTTAGTCTTACCCTAAGAATTGTTGTGGTAACTTAACCTGTACGTTAGGAATGTATCACGATCTTTATACAAAAAGTGAATAGAGTGCTAGTATTAATATTAGTAAATTTCAGCGGCAATTAATTATATTATAATATGTTTAATATAAATGATAGTAGTTTTACTTTCAGAGAAACATGCACTTTCCTACTAGTTAATACATTGCATGAACGCTAAGTAACACTAAGTTAGGTTTTTAATTCTTTGTAAGATGACGAGAAACAATAGGATTTGTAGTAATTTTTAAAAGTACTTCATTGTATAAAACAGCGCCATATTATTTGTATACATTTAATCTGTAATAATAATAGATTTCGTTTTAATACAATCATACAAATTTCCTTACACTAATCTACCAAATAACATTTAGAAAACAATTCAAATAAATACATCAAAAATTATCAGCTTCGCTTACAGAATTATTCAATTATTTACATTAAAATGTAGCATTAATACAACTCTTGAATAGTCCAATATTTTATACCCTAACTGTTTAGAATGTTCAGCAATTATTATTTATATAAGATTTTTTTATTACACAACTTCTGTATCCTAAACATGCACTTGACTCTTTTCGCGAGCATCCGATCCCCGAGGTCGTCATCGTTCCGTGTTACGCAAAAACCGCAAGTGGTGCGTATACACATTGGACATTTAAAAACGTTGATCGTGATAAAGTCAAACACGGGATTAATTGGCGACAATTAGGCGAAATCGATGACCCAAAGCGTCCATGAAAACAGAGTGTCGTAACAGATACCGTGTGAAACGTCCATCTTAGTAAACACATTTACTGTTTCTCAACGAAGTGCAAGAATTAAACTCTGCAGCTAAATTGTATTGCATCGGTATGGAGACTCGTAAAATTTAATTGTAATTTTTAGAATTTCCGTTGTATACTACTGATATTAAAGTACAATATTTATATAGTAGGTATATTTAGATGTTATGAAGCTGCATTCGTTTAAGACTAGAATATTAGTTACTAGATCATATGTGTCTTTTGACCAAGGAAAAATGCATAACGCTAAAAGTGGCACATCACAATAGTTATAACAATTTAAAAGGACTAAAAACACTACCGAGGAGAACTCGCGACATGTAAACATTACCCCGTCTATAAGAAGATATATGCCATTCTGCTCTTAAATAAGACAAAACTCATCAATCGATGCTATTAACTCGTTCCCAACATGGAGGAGTAATTCTTGGGCCTGAGCAACAAAGATAAATTAAGATAGCAGTGAATTGCCGCGATATCAACAAGGAAGCCTTCGGATGCCAGGAGCACTGAGTGCATCAGGTTTATTGAGATATCGCCAATGTCAGTACATGATATTCATGATTTACGATGTTGTGGACTTAAATAGATGGCGAATAATTAATGCGACAGTACAGGGCTGCCGGAATTAAGTCTATATTGATAATGAAATCAGTAGAAAAGATTATTTTATTTATATTTACCATCGTTCGACTAAGCTTTCTAGTTATAGTGCAACATTACAAATGTTGATTTTGTTACAAACTAGGCAGACCCTACAGATGTTGTCCTGTATTCAAGTTTAGTATTAGATGTCAGATACCCCGAGCAACGATCGACAACTGTTTAATATAGTTTAAAGACAATGTAAAACACTAAAATATCCACTTAAAATTCCAAGTTCGTAGTAGTCACTACGAATAAAATATTTTTAATAATTGCATGCACGTACATACAATTTTTTTCTGTGGTAATAGATTGGTATGTGGTTCAGAACTATATTTGTTGACTAAAGGTTAACATGGTTCGCCAATTCCCGCACTCGAATCGTTCAAGCTGTGTCCCTTGACACCTATTGTATGTTAGCACAGCTCGGGGGATTATAGCCTCCCACAATCGAACGGTTTCTGACTCAGACAGAATAGACCCAGGATTGGATCTGATTAGGGTTATCGATTTAACTATATAAAAGGCATTTGGATCACACAAGTGCATTTTATAACATTTCCGGAAGTCTCACAAGGTTCTTAACTAGGGCTAATATTATATCTTTTAGCTTCTATGCAGCGGTTCATAACCTTTTTGGTTAGTGATTTAAATTTCGGAAAATCCTACCCCAATACCGTCCTCGATCCGATTTTGAGTCCCAACACAAGTTTACGAAACGCTGAATCTATTGGGAGGTGTTAATTATTGTTTCCATACACGATATTTCTTTTATTTCAATTAATTATTTTTGCATGGAAACATCATTAATTTAAGGTAATTAAACAAACAAATTTTTATTGTAAATGTTTAGTATTGTGCCATAATTTATATTTTATTTTAATTCGCTTAAACTTGCTTGCTTTTCAATGTTTTTTTGATATATAGTTAGGTTTTTTAATGAATTTTTCACTACAATTTTACAGCATTGTCTTCAAAATTAAACACAGCCCTGCTCGTGAGTGCTTATTATAATCAGCGCACCGTTCGTATAATGAATGTCAGTGTAATTTCATTGTTTCATCTCGTTTATAAGCAAATGTATGCGAGATTTCAGATTAGCTTGTCCTGGGGCCTTCGCCCACTATGAGGGCCTAGACGTCGTTTCTGTATGAAGTGGCACAAACGGTGAATAATTACGTCTGTTCAATCGCGTCTATTATTGTGGACGATTTACTATTGTTTATATTATTTAAGTCGTCACCTTGCGGTTTGACTTGAATCAGACCTGATTTGTCTGTGTTATGAGTGATTGTATTATTATAATGTACTGGCATCGAGTTTTGTCTTCACGAGCTAAGCAATGGATGGATGTCAATTTTTACAGGCAATCTTTGAGTTATTGATATTTGCCGAGAGAAAAGGAACGGAGGTAGTGTGTATAATACGATTTTTTCGCTTGCTTTTGCAAACCAAGAATTAGCGACCCCATGTGCCGCAACAGCAAACGGCATTACTGTGTAATTAGTATTAATTTGTATGAGACCGTTCGTAACCGACGTCAACTGACCTCCGAAAGCATTTGCTGACGCCCTTTTGCTGCCGTCTACTGCGGCCTTCGAGGTTTTAGGCGCCCTTTAAAACCTCGAAGCTAAAACATATTGCACATGGAAAAAACTTAATACAAAATTGCAAATATCAGCTCACACGATTATAATTGGCGTAATCACACGACCTCGGTGACTTAGTGACTCATAAATTATAGCACAACAACTATTCATATTCATAGATCGTTACGTGGTAAGAGACAGCCGTCGACAATCGCTACTACCCTACAGGGAAAGTCGGTCGGCGAACTAATGGGACACGCCGCGATACAACGCCCTGATAACACCGTCATTATCTACTGGATTGCGCCCGCGCAGGAATGTCTACCGCACAACGTTTGACTACAAAAATAGGGATAGACAGATTAGATTGTTTATAGGCATCTAGGTAGTTATATTAAAAGAGTATGTAACAATGTTTTTTGGCACCTTTACTTCTTGAATATAATGATATTTCTGTATAATAAAGCAAGCGGGCGAAAAGCTAGTATAATAATAAATTTGTTTGTAACATGATCAAAATACGTAGCTAATTAGACGAATTCAATGTATTATTATATTATTAGATCAGTATTGCATTCACAAAGCTATACTGCAAAATATTCTTAATGAACAATGCTTAAAGAATCCAACAGGCCCAGGTACTCTGAGATGGGATTTAAGCATTTTTCATTAAGAATAACATGAATTATGTTTTACAATTATTTAAATTATATTAATATCACCAGAAACACATGAGGACAAAGAGTAAATAAAACACATCACGCGGGCCAGAGATCCTCTATCATTAACAATAATTAATTCCCAATTTGTATTTGGTTTAGGTAT